TAATAGATTATATGGCCAACCTTTATGTCCTAGAAATGTATTTGTATAGGATACTACAGACCAAGTTATATCAACCTCAGTGTCACTGACATTTTAGCAGGACGATTCATTGTTGTGGGAGACAAGCCTACGAATTGTATAATGTTTTATAATGAATGCTGCAAATTGTATAATGAATGCTGCATCCCTGGCTTCTACTTACTAGATGCCAGTAGCATCTTGTCCCCCAGTTGTCACAATCAAATATGTCTGCAGACCTGGCCAAATGTCCCCTGGACAGCAAAATCACTCCTGGTGGAGAACATTGTTTTTTTCTAATCTGAGCATTGCTTTCTAGAATTATATATCTAAGAAATTTTGAGGTAAGCTAAGTCCAGTCTTATTAACTGCAGAGTATTATATCAACTTTCTCCGAAAATAATAATAATAATAATATTCCCTGGTTCAGAACCAGGGAAAATATTTTTACAAGTAGACTGTGGGCTCAGAGTTTGGTAAAGGGCAGAGCAGCAAACTAGGCAGATTATCCAAGAGTGCCATTGGTAGGTGTGAGTTAAGCCCATCACAACTGTGTGAGCCAAATATGCATTTTAATGTGCCTAAGGATTTCCGAAAACCTTTTGCTATGATGCATTAGACTGGCCAATTTAAACAGTGACTGATCAAAGGAAAGAAATTACATAGCCAATAAAATTGATAATAAATGGAACGAAATCAAGTACTAATTTTAGAAGAACTGTTTATGTGTAACATCCATAAGAAATACTCATTATGAAGACATATTCACTGCATACTGTTAAATTAATGGTAAATTAAGAGTATAATACATACGTGATTCAGAAATGGATAACTTAAGACTAAGAGGCTGTTTTAGTGGCTGGTTAAACAAATGTTTATTTTAACGAATAATTGAATCTGCAAATAGGAAAAAATCTTATAGTTAGTGGGTTGCACTTAATGTGAAATTGTGCAAAATCAACTGCAGGTTAGCAGTTGGTCATTTGTGAAACACTTTATAATGTGACGATAGTTTTGTGTAAACTCAAACAAATATAAATCATTGTCTCAAGAGTCTTAAGACCTGGTACAATCTTTCCACCAGGACATCTTCTTTTACAGCCTCATTACACTTGCCAGTGATTCATGGGTGTTAGGCTTGACTGAGGAGTGTGGAAGGAGCTAAGGAACTCAGTATGCTATATTTCAACCATGCAAATGAGCATATTTCCCTGGGACTAAAAGGCAGCAATGCTAAAAGAAATGGATTAATCTCTGTCCATTCTTGTTATGCTTTTGTTGAGATTTTCAATGTAATCCAAATCCATGAACAAGCATTTTCACCATAGCATTTCATTGTATCTTTAAAGCAATGGGCAGAGCAATTGTAAAGGTTATCAAGAAATACACTGATGCAGGGAAGTCCTGGGGACAAGAAGAGGCAGGGCAATATGTACAGAATGGAAATAAATTTAAAGCAATATCTGTTGGACATCAGCTATGGCAAGTTGTGTTCTAGAGCACAGTGTTTGACCAAGTTGTGAGTCAGTGAAATAAATTCTATCTATTTGGATATAACAGGACCTAAGACACCCCTGACGTGATATTCATAACAAAGCACTCTTTGCTTAGATCAAGACTTCTGATTCTTTCTCTGATTCTCTTTACTCCAGGCCAATGTCAGCATAGTTTTTGTGGTGGGGGAAGGCAGGGGAAGAAGGAGAAGAAAAAATGGAGATTAAGACTCTCGACTCTACCAGTAGACAGTAAGCAAGTTAATAAAACAATGTTTCATTAACTTTATATCTGTAGCCTTCTCCATAGTGCCTTGCATATTGTAAATGCTGCAAAAAATGTAATCCAAGATCTGTGAAAACTAACATTTTCTTTTAAAATTAAACTAAGTTACTATACTTAAACATAAATCGTATTCTATCAGGCAGATTATCAAACCTGTTTAAAAGTCATATAATCAACCTTCCATTAAAGTATTCAAATTCATTTTTTCCACAATGCCATTGAATTCAGGGCTTCTGATAATATGATAATGATAAAATATTTAAAATTAAACTGAAAATGTGAATATTCACATATGCAAAGATGAATACAAAATAATTTGTTCAATATCAAATAGAATTTCTTTGAATTTCTAGAATACAAGTCACTTCAATAAATAAGCAGATTAAATGTTATGGATTTTTACTAAAGATAGCATTGAAAACCATTAGCAAGCAGGACATAAAAAGCTTATATTTATTACAAAGCTTAGTACTTATAATACCAGTGACACATCTACTAGTTTTATCTAATAACACAAAAATATAAAATAAGTTTTTAAAGTATATGATCTATCCTCTCAAAAAAAATAGTGTCTCAGATGAAATCAACATTTAAAAATATAGACAAATACAGGTAAAAACATAAAGGCTGACTTACACAAATCAAATTTGCTTCTCGGGTCAGACTTTTATTTCTTATATTTGGATTCATGTGTCTAACTGTTGGTTGGTCATTACAACTTCTATAACATAAGGTTAGTTGAAAGCTACTATAACAAAAAAACAAGCTAATCAGATTTCTTTCCAAATTGGCCTCTCCTTCAATATTTAGTTTTTAGTATCATCCTTTAAAGTAAGGTAAATCTGTTTCACTTCCTCTCACAAATTCAATGAATCAAATGAGTCACCAGATCCTACTGATTTTTCCTCCTAAATTTTTACAGATTTGTTTCCAGTTCTGACACCCTGTTGCCACTGCCCTGGTTCAGAGCCCCTCTACATTGTATTGAAGCATCACAAGAGTGTGTTACAAACTGGTGTCCTTAATCCTGAGCTTGTTTCCTCAATATTGTTGTCTATCTATGTAGGTCTCACTGAGCCCCTCCTTTGCTTCAAAGTCGTTCTGCAGCTGCAGGGAACCCTCAGCAGTGTGGCATCCTTCGCAAGCTATTTTTCACTCATTGCCTTTGCTCATGCTGCCACCTGCAGGTTTACTTCCCTCTACCCCTAGCATACAGTCTGTCATTTACAATTTTGCATTTACTCTCCTCTTTCGTGTCTCGACCATCAGAAAAAAGGCGTGTCATAGCCATCCTTTATCCCAAGGGACGAGCATAGAATCTTGTTTGCGGTAGGTACCGTTCGAAGATAAGCTTAGACACATTAAAATTTTAAAGGGTTTATTTGAGGATCCAGTGAGTCACGAATTGGGCAGCATAAGACTGCAAGCAGTTTAGCAGTGCTTGCTGGGGGCGGAGGCGCTAGTGAGACAGGAAGTTTTTAAATGAGATTTTCATGGAAACGAGACAAAGAAAACATATTTCATTGGTCAGAGTGGAAAGTCCCTAGAAATTGGTTGGCAGTTTCTGATTGAAACACAGCCTCTAGTTTATTTTTATTGTTTGCATTGGGCTTTGGAAAACTCAGGGGCTGCCTTAGCCTGACGGTCTCCAGATAAAATTATTTTTAACAGTACTAAATAATTATTAAATGAATTAGCTGATCCATAATTGGCAAGCATAGTGATGGGCCTGTCATTTTAAGGATAACACTGGAAACTTGAGCAAATAATCTCCCCAATTAAGTGTTTCAATAAAATAGAAGCTTTTCTTCTTCACTGCCTAACAGCCCCGCATAAGCCTTGCACATCAGAGGGTAGCTTTCTGCCATCTAGGATCCAAGCTCCTTTCCTCTTGCACCACCACCATTGCAAAGGGTCCTGAAATCTGCTTCTGGTCAGCAGAAGGAATGAGAGAAAATGACGACCAGCCCACTTAAACACACGTACACACACAGCAAGAATTAGTCACGAAGCCGTGTCTGGATGTACGTGGATGAAACGGATATAGTCAATTTCTGAGAAGCTACTTCCAGCAAAGTTTTCCTTTGTGTTAGTCTGTGGACAGATGGCCATCTTGACCACGTGACTTAAGGAAGGAAGAGCATACGTATTGTATTTCAAAGGAAGCTAACATTTTCTGAATGTGTTTGTAAAAAGACGATTTCAGTTGTCTGCAAAAGGGTCTTTGGTAGAACATTTTATTACCAACAACTCTGGAGGAGATTAGGGGTAGCATCAGCCTTGGGAATGTTTCCTAAAACAATTAAGCCCATATAACTTTTGTTTGGATCTCTAGTAAATGACAGGACCTGCCCAATGAGATTAGGCATATGGAATAGCTCAGATCTCCTTGCAGTAATTACATTTCACCTTCTTAAAACCAGCTGTTCTCCCATACAGGGATAGCTACATGTTTGCTGAAGCAGGTGGAGTGTCTCTAAACAGTTCTGCTTTTCAGTACCTACAATTTGAAATAAAAGAGGAAGTCTCTTTTCCACATTTCAAGATAGTCCTCAAATTTTACTTATCAAAAATGTCCTTTTTGAGAAAATTGCTAGATTTATTCATATGAACAACCAGATAACTGTATCTGCAATGGCCCACACCTCCCCATTTGAAGTATGTAAAATTAAACGAAAAATTTACCCAATAGAGATAGGCAGGTGCTATATAAACACATCTGCAGTTCATTTAGAAATTACTACCATCACTCTTTTCATTAAAGTGACATGCATATATTTAGAAACTAGTTCTCAAAAACCTAATGAAGGACTCTCCTTGATAACTTCTCTATACGTTCACCTATAAAGCATTAAATTCCTTTACATAATGAGCTTCAGGTTCTTGCGGGGTGGGGGCAAGTTTCAACTTGTGTTCTCATTTAATAAAAATGTAGATTGAAACTTTATTTTATTTGCTTATATTATTTATGCATTTATTGTCACTGCAGGTATTTAAAGGTATTTCTTTCACAATTTTAGAGTATTAGACAGCTAGAAATACTATAATATCACATTCCCATTACTGAGATTATTTGTATTATGATATAAAAAGAAATACATAGTTAAAGACATATCAAAATTCAGACACAGGTGTAAGTTTTTCACTTGGAGAGTCTCAGGGCATCTCTATTGCGTTCATTGCATACTTTTTGCAAATCACTTATGCTGATATGGTGACCTGGATAAACTCTAAATTTCTATGCGAGATTTACAACAGCTGTTTTCTGTCTGAGTGCAGAAAGTCTCATTAGGGCCTGTCTTGGTCTGGTGTTCATGGAATTGCCAGGCTACACAGCACTGCACAGGAAGTAAAGATTTAAACTTGTTAAGAAAATAATGGGTTTCTGCGGTCATCTCACATACAATTTCCAAACCTAATTCTCCTTGTATAGAGTTTTACATAAGGTCATTTCATAATATGTATATATTGAGAAAGATAACTAACGTACATAATTTACTGAAGCAGACATCTGACAGAGGTAAATCAATGAGGCCATGTTTATATTGAAAACTGTGAACAAGTCCATGGAAACCAAATATAATGCAAATAGAATAGTGACATCTGATGAAAACACCTGTGGCTTCAATCTATAGCATTTCATGTTGAGTTGCAATAAAATTAGAACCCCCAAACACTCCCAAGTAATCCTTTCTGTAGAGACTGCTAACGACTTTCAGTGTCATTAAAAGAAAAAACGGTTTAGTTTTTATACAAAACATAAACATCTTAATAAAGTTTTCACATTTTCACTACTTATGTAAAGACTGTGATATTTTTATTTGATATAGTTATTTACACAGCAGAAGCATTTGAAAGAGACTTCGTATTTTATGCCTGTGGCTGTGATCATTCTACCTCGCCTTATGGTTAAAGTACGAAACAACAGGTAATGCTAGAAAATGTTAACAGGGTTTTGGGGCCTAGCTATAACCCGTCCACTAAAGTGGACATAAAAACACAGACTTATTGATGTTAAGGCTTTATAAAAAGAAATCTTTTTTTTTTTTTTAAGAAAGCACATGCTGTCTTTGTCTCATTAGAATGGTATTGCCATTTTATGGCTAAATGAATGGATTTTTAAAATACTCCACAGAAAGCACTTTATTGTATCAATTTTTCCTTCTAGAACATTAGAAGGAAAATTGTTTACTTTTACCAATTAAATCTGGCAGTACCGTAGAAATGACAACAGAACTATGACAAAAATGTGCATTTACTTCTCATTTTTAGTTTATTTTTCTGCTAAAAATCACGCCTGATATATCTGAAGGTGAAAGTACAAGCTGGGTTTTCAGGAGGTGTTTTTCCTCAGTAGAATTGTGTCACAGGGAAACACTATGGATATCCATCAAAGTGAAACCTACAAGGACATAAGAGCTCGTTATTAGTGAACATTGTTTGTAACCTTCAGAGGGCTTCAGCATTGCTGTCACAGAATGGCAAGCAGAATGAGAGATTAAAGCACATCATACCCTCAAAATTAGCATCACTACATAAATTACGGCTTTTTATAAATCTGAAATGATTTTCTTTTCATTTTAAAACAGTGAATTACTACAGCCTCCAATCTTTGTAATAAAATGTTACAGTGGGTTCAATTTCAGTTAGGTCAGTGCTAGCTTCAGGTTAACATTATTGATTGAAACTTGCTAAAGCATCCTGGCAGATAGATGCAATAACTTCAGTCAGGAAACTAAGCCAAGGAACATATCCTTGCGGTTCTGATGCTTGTTCTGGATCATACGCTTTTTCTACAACAAAAAAAAATTAGAAGAAATGAATGAGAAATAAGTTTAAGGTTCCATAGCATTGGAAAATGGCAGGATGTTATTTTTCACATCGTAATGCCAACATTGTTAGCACATTTGCAATTAGATCTTTTATGTCCTTAATCAATAGTTTTTATAAAGGAATGTTTTAGTATTATTCACATTATTTAAAAAGAGAAAGCTTTAAAAATATTTAGTATTATGGAGGCTTTTCATTTAAAAAAAAATATACATACTACCTAGACATTCTTGGTGGGTCAAGAATTGGGAGGGATTTTTTTTTTTTACAAGATTATTCCCTCTTTTAAACAGAATTGATGAAATGATGAGGCACATTAAAATGAAGGTTGCAATCAGCTGTAATGGAAGAGGGCTTTTCTCTTTGCCACCCTGACTGATACAGTTAATGTGTACATCTATGACCTTGACAATTTTCAACAAACGTACTTGAAGTAAAGCGAACTATACTTCAGGCAAAATATCATAGCAACCAAAACCTTTGGTGGTTAAATTGACTAAAAATATTGGTCCATTATTCAATTTATTTTATTTCTGTTAGTAATAGCCTTGGCTGACAGAGAGATTACTGGGTGCTTTCATTGAAATGTAAGGACACAATTCAAGTTTAAAGAAAGTAATCCACTCCTGATTTTTTACACGGGACATACTAAAATGACAAGCCTTTGTGTTGTTTGTTATTTGTTTACCTGTAGAATGCTAAGCTACAGAGATAATATTTAAAATACATAAATGAAAAATTGTTTAAAATGGAGTAATTTTTACTCTAAAGCACACATGCAGAACTGAATATCCACTAATATGTGTAAACTCTCACATTTAAAAATTGAAATTACACTATCTGCACTTTTTCCTCTGTGAGCAGCTCTCAGGAAGACGAACATTCCTATAGTTGAAATTATCATGTGCATTCTGACCCTAATTGGGTAAGTTTTATATTAGGTTCACACCAAGCAATCATGGAAGCAATTATGAGCACTTGTCCTGGGGCTGCCATAGCCCAGGTGCTGCTGTCTGATTGTCATTTGGTAATTACCTTGGTACTTCCCAACTACTCCTTAGCATCAGTTAAGCAATGCAACATACTTCAAGTAAGTGAAGTCTCCTTAGAAGTACAAGTAAATACTTAATGATTTAGTTTGCTGCTTTATATCGGTGTTGTCTGTTCATCTGGAATGTGCAGAAGTATCATGAAAATTATCCTCTGAAAGACCTGCACAGAAGTCAAATTAGAGATATAATTTTTGCAAATAGCCATACAGTTTCTTTTGAAATATGGAAAAATACCTTAAATAAAAGTGATGATAGAGGCATTGCCAACTTTAGGATTTTTCAAGTCTTTGAAGTCTGACTTTGCAGAACAGATTGTAAATCTCTGGCCCATTACACACCTGCGGAGATTTTGGTGTTTTATTTCTCTTGGGTGAAACTGCAGAAGCCCAAACCATGTTAATCACTGTCAGAAGCAGTTGTATAAAATGCCAAAATGCAGTGAACCAAGTGTTTTATAATAAATATGACAATGCAGTCAGAATGTTGTTTTGTTAGGCTTGTTATTTATGGTAATTTTTCATTTATAATCTTTGAAAGGAGAGAGTTTTAAGGCTTTTATCAGAAAAAAATCTAACCACAGGAAAGAAGTCACAATACTGCATAAATATGACTCTAAGTACTTGTATAATAATTAACATGGACAAAATTATTAAACTAACTTACTGGTAGCATTTGTTTTAAATGCCTTGAAATACCTGAATTTTAAGAAACAACTTTAATATCAACACTGAAATCTAAAATACTAAATCTGTCACTCTATGAATGGCATACAATTCTTTAAAAATTAATATTCTCACTGTATATTTTTATGTCAATCTTTTGCTTCTTATTTATAACTGAATGTTTGATTTTTATCAAATAGCATATATAATGATAGAGGTATGAAAAAGAATATTTTTAATCTTCTACTTACTTGAAATGGACATTGAATCAACTAAATTTAAAATTATTAGTTAACACAGCTTTTTCTTGCATAGTATTCTGAAATGTATTTTAACAGATTTCTCAAAGGAAGCATTCTGTGTCAAAAAATATAAACATACCATAAATTGATGTGTTAAATTAATGATAGGTTTTGATATATTATATCAAATTTGAGAATATATTTTAATATTCATATACTCTGATGAAATAATTTTAATAGCATGTTATTTGAATAACCATTTATATAAATCTAAACTTATATAAACCTAAGTCAACATTTATTTGTTGCTAACCAACACATAAGTAAAATGTCTTATGTTATTATTTAAGTTCTGTTACATACAGAAGGAATGCAAGAGAAATAGAATACAGCCACTTGGGCTACACATCACTATACTTAGAGATGCAGTAATAACAAAGCTAGGTAAATCACCCTCTTTTTGTGCTTCCACAATATTAAGACATTATTTTGCAATTACCTGTTCACTGTTTGGAGTATTAAGATCAAAATGTCCTTGGGTGATGACCATGTATATTCCCCGTTATATATTCATTCCCAGGAAAATGCCTAACACAAAATAAGAGATCAGGCTGAGTTCAGTGGCTCATGCCTGTAATCCCAGCACTTTGGGAAGCCGAGGCAGGCGGATTTTCTCAGCTCAAGAGTTCATGACCAGCCTGGGCAACACGGTGAAACCCTGTCTCTACCAAAACACAAAAACAATTAGCCAGGCTTGGCACTGTGCGCCTGTAGTCCCAGATACTCAGGAGGCTGAGGCAGTAGAATTGCTTGAATCCGGGAGGCAGAAGTTGCAGTGAGCCCAGGTTAGGCTGCTGCACTCCAACCTGGGTGACAAAGTGAGACTTCACACCACCGCCAAGGTAAATAAATAAACAAATAATCAGTAAATATTTACTTAATGAGTTAATCAAATGGTTAATTGCTATGGAAATCAGAAAAAAATGTTGATACAGTAAGAAGTGCTTCCTGTATATACTTCTAAAGTCAGCACTGTACAGACATACAATGCTACTGTTGTCTAATTTTGCCCATTTTCATACGTGTGACTTGAACTGAAAAGGTGTGATATTAAAATAAAAGTGATATACCTGTCTGTTCACCATCATCATGTTTTTAACGTTTCTACTACATGGGTATGTGTGTGTATGTGTGTGTACCACATAATTAGACACACAGGTACAGCTGAGAAACAAGAATCTACAGTTCGAGATGATCTCAAACTGACAATCTGACCTTCCCAAAGTGTAAGAATTGGAATGGTATGTTCTCATTTGAATCTCAGGTGATGTTTAGGCTACAATGTAGAAGAAATAACCAAAGTAAAAAACACTAATGTATAGTACACAAAAATTAATTTCGGTAGGTTTTTATGGCACCTTAGCAAAG